AGAGTGGCTGGAGAGCAGCCAGGCAGAAAGGGACCTGGGGGTGCTGATCGACAGGAGGCTGAACATGAGCCAGAGTGTGCCCAGGGGGCCAAAAGGGCCGATGGATCCTGGCCTGGCTCAGGAATGGTGTGGCAGCAGGAGCAGGGAAGGGATTCTTGCCCTGCACTCAGCACTGGTGAGGCCACCCCTGGAGTGCTGTGTCCAGCTCTGGCCCCTCAGGTCAGGAAGGACATGGAGGGGCTGGGGCAGGGGCAGGGAAGAGCAACCAGGCTGGGGAAGGGACTCGAACACGAGTCCTATGAGGAGAGGCTGAGGGAGCTGGGGTTGTTGAGCCTGAAGAGGAGGCTCAGGGGTGACCTCAGCACTCTCTACAAGTCCCTGAGAGGAGGTTGTATCAAGGTGGGGGTCGCTCTCTTCTCCCAGGCAGCTCTCAGTAAGACAAGAGGACATGATCTTAAGCTGTGCAAGGGGAGGTTTAGGTTGGATATTAGGAAGAAATTCTTTACAGAGAGGGTAATCAGGCATTGTAATGGGCTGCCCAGGGAAGTGTTGGATTCTCCATCCCTGGAAGTTTTTAAGAAGAGACTGGATGTGGCACTGAGTGCCATAGTCTAGTAACTGTGATGGTAGTGGATCAAGGGTTGGACTTGACAATCTCAGAGGTCCTTTCCAACCCGGCTGATTCTATGATTCTATGAGTCATACTGAGACTAAGGAGCAGGTGACATGATCACCTGTGCTTTGTAAGGGGCCGTGTGTTGACAAGGAGTGATACAGAGTCCCCTCTCTCAGGGAAGTTCCACTATCCCCCGATTCACAGAGCTGTGAACAGGTGAGACCTTTGTGTTGGTGGAGACTTGCCACTGCAAGGGGAGCTGTGTGACCTTGGTCTCAGGTCATAGTACAGAGGGGCTCTCTCGTGATGGAGGAGCTGGGGGCTGTTGCACCCTTCCCAGCTGCTGTCGTGTCCAGCACTGGCAGTGATACACACACAGCTGTTTTTTCTGACAAAAAGTTTAGTTAGATGGAAGCCCTTTGGTGGGGGAGCAGCAACTGGTCACTTGGCATTAGCCACAGGGAGACTTTACATAGCAAGGGTGGAGGCTCATCCACTGAGCAGTAGAGTCAGATTTGAACTCCCAGGTTTGGGGAATCACCATCTGCTTCCCTGGACTGCATGTGCTAGAGGCTGTCTGTGCTGCTGGGTGCTGGGCTTGACTCCTCCTGGTGCTGCTTTTAGGGGTGTATGGATCTACTTGCAGCACACAGACAAGGGAATCCCACAACCCTGCACATGCCACTTGTGGCTGTGGCTGTGTTAGACCCAACCTCACTTTTAGATTACAGGCAAGAGTAAATGCGCAGGCTCTAGGCCACTCCTTTCGAAGACCATCCTAGCAACTCTAGTAATTTATCTATATTTTTGCTTTTGTGCAAGATAGAAAAGTCCCAGCTGAAACAGCTCGAAGTGCCACTGTCCCAGCTCATGGCTGCCTCAGATCAATGCTCCATGACACCTGCTGGGAGCTGCTTCAGTGCAGTCCAACAACGTGTCACCACAGAACAAATGAAGGTTAAATCAAGGCTCAGAAAGCATGTGTATAGATTCCATTTTACAAGTCTTGGCTTACTGAGACCTCTAGTGCAGCTACAGCTGCTTTTGCTTTGAACATGTACCTGTGATCCTTGTTTATTAATCAGAGACACCTCTGCACCAGAGAAGTTCCCCTCTCTTGGCAGCAGCAGACAGGTAACACAGCTCTCCTCTTGAATGCCCATCATGCCAGCTGTCATCCCAGTGTCCCCAGGCCTTTCTCAGGATTAAACATTCCCAAAGACTCAGTGTAAGATTGTATCCTGCATTTATTATTGCCACTCAGACGTGAAATGGAGTGATTTGTTGCCAAGTGTTTGGTAAGAGTAAGGAAGAGCAGGATGAACAGCTGTAGCCTCAGGCAGAGGACTCCCTGACCTCACCATTCTCAGAGCTACTTTGCAATCCCTTCCAACTCACCAACACTTCCTGCAACTCAGAGAGCAGAACAAACAGACAAGCATTAATCTATTCCTGTTTAACTCTTATGACCCATTAGCTTTTTGAGTAATCGCTTCCCTGTGGGTTGCTTTTACTCCCCCTACTCCACCTCACAACCTTTGAGTACTCCACTGTGAGATATTCATCCAAGTGACTTTTCACTGCCATCTAAACTTTTCCGCAGAATTAAGTTGGAAGCATTTATACTATATAATAATATATACTATACAATAATTTATCTGCATTATTTTATCAGAAACTATATTTTTTTGTTCTCTTCTCACATTATTGCTAAAAACAGAGGAAAAACCTGAAGATTCTGCTTTATCTATTGGAAGCAGCTCCTGCTGTGACATTTGTCCTATGACTGACACACAGTGCTTCCACAGCAGCAGTCACAACTTGGATAGGCCCTTTTGGAAAGAAAAACAAGAAAATACCCTACCCAAAAAGTCAAAGCCAGTCAGCTGGCACTGGGGAAGCACTGCAAGGGAGCACAGCTCCTGCTCCTCCTGTCCTTCCCCTCCCCTGGCAGCGTGTGGTCCTGGACAGGCTGCTGGGCTACATGAACCCTTCACCAGTGCAGCCATTCTCATGTATCAGTAGCAACTAAAATGAAAACTCATGATCAAAAGAACCTATTCGGTTTGATTTGCTACCTTTCCCTTTAGTACCTTTTAATTGCTCTAATAATAAATTAAAAATTTATTTTATCCAAGCTTCTGTGGTACATGGTGAGGTTTAAACACCAACTTTTCCAAAAATCTGTTATTGAGAACAAAATAAGTTTAGTTGGCTAGTCTGCAAGGAACCTGCAAGGTCGAAATAACTCAGTCCAGAAATCCTACATTATTGAGTCTCATTATTAGACAATTCAGGGAGAAGGAAAAAGCCACATCTGCACCACTGTGTTGCAGA